AGGGTTTGATTATATCTTTATCGATGTAATTTGTGAATATAGTACTAAAAATGGAGTACCACTTTTAATATATAAAAATACTACAGTTTATATAAGCACAATTCGAACACTTTTCCCGTGCAGTATTTTCTAGAAAAAAAAACATTTTTTTTTTAGAAAATGTTCACTTCTTGTAAATTTTTTTCAATGAGGTATGTATACAACGATTATTAATTACTAGCACAAACAGCTGCCCGTAGGCCGGCGTTTCTGCTAGAAAATATAAATATTTTAAATTTGATTATCTATATGATAAGATTTTGTGTCTATGTGTCACGTAACTCCTCCTAAACTAATGGTCGCGTCAACTTTTAAATGGCACTAGACCGTCCCGGTCGCCCCCCAGTGGCACAGCGGTATGTCTGCGGACTTACAACGCTAGAATACGGGTTTCGATATTCGTGGTGGGCAGAGCACAGATAGCCCACTGTGTTGCTTTGTGCTTAACTTCAAATAAACAAACAAACAAACCGTCTCGGTCCCGATGTTTGCACAAAGGTAAAACTTTTCACTTGCATGCCGGACTATGAATTCGCTACAATTCATGGTTCGCGTCTCGTTGCCATAAAACCGTATCCTGCCCTTTGAGAATCTGGACGCATTATAACAGTGAAATGTAAATCCTACTATTCTATTACAGTTGTTCGAGTGTTTGCAGTTTCTTTACTGCCTTCACTTTAGTTTATCACTTCAAAATTAGAGACAGCTAATGTAGATAGCTCTTGCATAGCTTTGCAGGATTGTCCAAAACAAACAAACATTATTGGTAATTAGTTAATTAATTAATTAATTAAAGCTGCTAAAGAACTGATTTGGTATATTTTAGTTAAACTAGTTTTTATGTATCATGGTAGTTACTTATTTATTATTTTATTTGTTTGTAGCTAAACACAAAGCTGAACAATGGACTATTTGTGCTCTGCCCACCATGGGTATCGAAACCCGGTTTCTAGCTTTGTAAGTTCGCAAACATGCCGCTGTGGCACTGGTGGGCCGGTAGTTACTGCCTGACAAAGGATGTGTGTTTGAAATGTCATACAAAATAAAAAATATAATAAAGTTTTTATTAAGACGAGTTAATTTATCTTTATTACCTTTCATCCTAATTGTTTCTGTTCATGTCTTGCGAAACAACAGTCACTCAATAATTATATATTACAATACTGCTAAAAAAAATGTTACACCTAACTCAACTTTTCTATTGTTTACGATAACTTCATTTGAAGAAATACCAATTATGAAAGGCTTCTTTGGTACTGTCCCTGTATCTACGTAATCATATTGTTCCTCTACTGTGTAGTCATTTCTGTGGTGTTGTAACTGACGAAAAAGGAAGTTTGGTGGCGTTAGTATCGTTAATATTAATCATAATAAAAATACTCGAGGGGAGTTGGCTTAATTTTAGGCTTATTCCGGTTACAGAAAAGAAGTAATTAGACAATTTATAAGTATTTACTTTATTTAACATATTTTTAACTTTCTGTTTCAAATTACAGTTTATAACGTTAGGAAGCTTAATTTTATAGAATGGGAAGCAAGGATGACGAATACGATTATTTGTTTAAAGGTAAGTGTTGACGTTATTTATAAAATATATAAATTATAATTTAGATAATTTACTCTCGGTCCGACTTTCAACTAAATCAAGTCAAAATCCTTGATTGAAAGTAAAACGTTTAAGCATAAGTTAAGCCTAATTCTATATTGTAGTTATGTGGTTTGAAAACAAAGTTGTACTGTGCTTAGATTAGAATCAAATTGGGCTATCTACACTGTGCCCATCATGAGTATTAACCCAAGTTTTCAGTGTTATAAGTCCTCAAGCTTATTAATGAGCCACTTATGGGAATAAAATGAAATCTAACTTGAAAGCTAAACTGATTTACTGCCATTTACAGCTATACTTTAAAGTGTAATTGTACCACTGTATCAGCCCAGGTATAAGTTCTCAGTAACTATAATACATATTCATTTTCATTCTTTTTTAAACTTGTAGTTGCAATCGTTTCACTATAGTATTATAGTAGTAATATACAGTTTATAATACAATATTAACAATGCCACGAATTCCACAATTACTGGTCTTTGCAATTTCTCACATAGGCTTACAACTTTCATTTGAGTCTTATTCTTAGTAGTTTTGGTTTAATCACAAGCAAACTTCACAAGGGGGCTGAATACAGAACTATAATTCTATATATGATAATATTACTGTAATGCTTTTGATCTCAAAAGGAAATTTAGAAAGTGCTTTAAAAGTTTAATTTTTAAAGGTTAAAGCCCTTAGAATTATTTTTAGTGTTGCAGTTAACTCGAGAACTATGTGCCATACAGACATTTAATAACCTTCTCTCTAACCAAACTGGTAAAACAAATATATTTCTTCATTATTTTCCAAAATGTAGTATTTTTTATGCATTAGATATGGTAATGAGACAAATATTGTTTGAAAATATACCTTTATAAAAAAAAAAAAGGAATTTGAATTGAGTATGGTATTTAATTTCAGAACAGAAAAAAAAGTAGGAGACAAAAGGCCATTTGGCCCAGTGAGGTCACCTTTTACCCACAAGAAGAACAAATTAAAGTATTTTTTTCAAATCTATGTATATATATATATATATTCAATAAATTAACAAAGATATTCAAAATAATAATCAGGTAAATTATTTCATAAGCTGATGACTAATGGAAAAACAACAACCTGCATTTAGGCTTCCAAAGCGAAACTGATTAACTTTGATAAATAAGTTTGAATTTATCTTTTTACCATTAAAAGAAAGCAGCCATAAGAAATTGTCAAAATCCCCAACATTATTTATTCTCTTAAATTAAATCACCCCTTGTATCTTTTTACTTCTTAATTTTCTTAAATCTGACAATTACACATGTATTTAGCATTAAATACATTTAGCATATTGATGTCCTAAAATGAGGGGACCAAAATGAATGTCAGCATGAATTTACCAAAGGGAAATCTTGCCTTAGTAATCTTTTATATTTTTTGAAGATGTTATTAGGTAATTAGTAAAGTTTGTTATGACATTAAACTCTGAGCAGTTCTATCTGTATTTAGGATATTGAGGTGCAACAGAATGACTTTGATTAATTGTCTAGACTAATATCTGGCAAATGACCTTTAAGTGCTTTAATTACATAGTAAGTTAAAAATAATGCATTTAGGTTATCATAATTTGGATCAGACATTTAATATAGAAGGGAAACCACTCAATACATGACTGAATGATCTTGGCATGCTGGTGAATAAATCATTCAAATCGTTGAGGCAGTGCTCTGTTTCAAGTAGTGAAGCTGAGAGATTTCTTAACTGTTACACTGTTCATTAGTACCAAAATTATTTCTTTCTTTCTTTTGAAGCACTTTATGAATAGTTTTCTGTAAGTTAACATACACTCTTTCAGTCAATAAATATAAACAGAAGCCCTTCCAGAAAATTCCAAGTCAGTAAGGCAAGAAAGCCCTTTTCTAAAACCATTGATAGAGTTGTTAATTACAAGCCAAGTTTTGAGATTCCTATTTTAAATGACTTTTGGCAGCAGATTCCATTATTTTGTTCATAACAGAAAGCAAATTAATAGATTTATAGTTTCTGAGTTCTCTTTACTTTTTTTAACACAATCTAACATGGTGACTGTTACCTTACAGAGTTTATGAGAGAGAATTAGTGGTTACCTGAAAAATATAGAGTGGATTTAATATTTGCTTTTTTGTGGGGGTGGGTGTATAAGGACAGCCTTGAAGGATCACATGGTCCTTTGTTGTATGGGTGTTATGTTCACTGCTCAAAAATTTCCCCAGTGGCATGAGATTTCTGAAAAAATAAATAAATTAAAGCTTCCACAATGTCTTTGCTAGGATAATACTTCTCATAGCTGAGTAGTTTACTTTATTGATATTTCTGTAGTTTTTGAAATAGTTTTATTTTTCCACCTAATCTAGAGTTTATAGCCAAGTTTTGATGTTTGAAACTTAAGTAAGACTTTCATAATTTCTCTTTGCTTTTACAAAAGCTTACTGACAACTAACACAGCATATGGACAACAAGGGCCATTTGGTCTTTCAAGGCTGTTCTTGTTTTTTCACTCTTGAGAAATATATAATTTAAACTAACCCTTTATTTTTCAGAAAATCATTGATTTCATTTTTAATTCTTAAATGCCTGAGCGTGTTGATTTGTCTCACCTGTTATATAGTTTGTTTTAATTGCATTGAAGAACACAACTTCTGGATGAAATTGTTTTAAATGTTTTAAATTGTACAGGTTATGTAGCCTCTGCAAAATAAAATGTTAGTCTTGTGTATGATATTTGTATAAATTTTAAAAGCGGAAAAGATTCAATGAAACCATACTAAGTTTCATTTCATTACGTTCACATTAAGCCTTAATGAAGTAAGTAGTTGCTTGAATGGGTGAAGTAAATCACTAAAAAGAAATGTACAAAAGATATACAAGTGAATATAATATGGGTTTACAACATATTACATACATTAAATGAAATCTTCTGTTTAACAATTAAGAAACAGTTGGCTTGCTGATAATTTTGGAATGAAAAAAAAGTTATTTTTATTGCATGGTTATAAGCACAGTGAAATTGTGTGTGGTCTTTTGCAAAATCAAAACAGATAAAGTTTCATTTTACAGAATAAAAACTTTATTGGAAAGTATAGCAATAATGTAAAAAGACAAAATTCAGTAATGGGAAAACTATAATAAAGGTAAACTTTTTTAATAGTGTCTTAAAAAAACAATATATATATAAACAGACACACACACACACACTTAAAATTCTTTTAGCTCTATCACAATAAACAGGAAGCTGCTTTCACGTTTTGAGTGACTGTCCACTGGCATGCCAAGCCCCCCACCCCACCCCATTTTTTTAAGTCATACTATTTAGTGGGTCTTCCCATCTATGCTTTCTATAATTAAAAGTAATTTGCCAGATATTCATTCAGCTTACTTAAATTGTGAGTAAAAGTTCATTAACTGTTTGTCAGTTGTTTAATCTAGGCTTCATTTGAAAGTCTCATTTTCAACCTTACCAATCACTTTGAACATGCTGGGGGTTGTGACCACCAAACACATCATGTTCACTTAATGCATGCCAAACAGTGCTTGAACTGTTCTTGAACCTAGGATTAGAGTGATCCTTTAAACAATCTCCTAGTTTTATCATAATTGATCTGATATAAAAGCCCCAAAACATTGGGCAGCAGAATTCATAAGTAACACGTGAATGTTTAGAAAACTGGATACAATTTTTAAATTTGAAAAGTTCTGAATTCTCACTAATGGTCTAAACACAAGTTAAAGGTGAAC